GCTCAATAATGAAAAGTTTACTTGTTGGGGAGAAAGGATTTGAATTATTTTTACTTGAGGATGTCACTATATCAATAAAACATACATGTATAATTTTGCCATACTTGAGAAGAAGAGTGTCAAAGATTTTTCCTCTATATTTTTATGTAAAGATTTGATTGCCCATTATGGCCACACCTTACCCCTAGGTGTCATGATAGGTACAAACTTGAATTAACTGATGATGTTTCCATATTAATATCACCAATCATAGCTTTGCTGGTCTTGAGAAGAAGATTTTTAAAATATTTTTCCTATGTATTCCTATGTAAAAATTTAATCAGCCATTGTGGCCCCGCCCTACAAACTTCTACTTTAGTTTCATCTTTGTTGTCCCAATGGTTTTGGAGAAGAAGATTTTTAAAGATTTTTTGCCTATATATTCCTATGTAAAACTTGGGTCGGCCATTGTGGCCCCACCCTTGCCCAGGGGGTCATGATTTGAATAAACTTGAATCTACACTACCTGAGAATGATTCCACATGAGTTTCATCTTTCCTGGCCCAGTGGTTCTGGAGAAGAAGATTTTTAAAGATTTTTCCTATATATTCATATGCAAAACTTTGATCAGCCATTGTGGCCCCACCCTACCCTCGGAGGTTATGATGTGAAGAAAATTCAATCTACACTACCTGATGATGCTTCCACATTAGTTTCATCTTTCCTGGCCCAATGGTTCTGAAGAAGATTTTTCAAGATCTTTCCTATATATTCATATGCAAAACTTTGATCAGCCGTTGTGGCCCCGCCCTATCCCCGGGGGTCATGAATTAAACAAACTTGAGTTTAATCAACCTGAGAATGCTTCCACATGAGTTTCATCTTTCCTGGCCCAATGGTTCTGGAGAAGAAGATTTTTAATAGATGCCATTAATTTTTCATAAATTCATTATTATCTCCCCTTAGGAAAGGGCTTGGCCCTTCATATGAACAAACTTGAATCCCCCCTTCACCTAAGGATACTTTGTGGCAAGTTTGGTTGACACTGGTCCAGCGGATCTTGAGAGGAAGATGAAAAATGTGAAAAGTTTACGAAAACGAAAACAACGACAACAACGACAGACGACGGACAAAGAAGAAGGTATGGTTTTAACTTTATTGTGCCCTAAAAATTTAAGGTCATCAAAAAGTTTTGAAACTGCATGGCTTAAATATTTGTCAAGTACAGTGTACATGTATATGACTGTGATAAATCAGGAAAGAATATGGCATGAAGGTTTAGCATTCTGCAAATAAGACGTCATTACTGTGAAGCATTTATCTATTTTTAACAGAAAAAGCCACAAAATGGTCCATTTCAAGGGTGATTTTCCTTTAAAAAAAAACAGTTGTCCACAGCAGTCGCCCACGTTAATTTTTTGATATATTTTTTGCAAAATTCAAAAAAAAAAAAAAAAAAAAAAATCACATATCTCAACATCTTTGTGGGCGATGCCTGTGGACAATGTCATCTGAAAGAAAATTCATTGAAAATTGGTGTCTTCTGCAACTTTTTTAGAAATTGCGGGAAAACGCACAAGTTTATGACGTCATAATTAGCATTTAAAAACACATGTGAGAAAAATGATTTTTGTGATTTTTCTGCATTGAATTTCAATTATTCAAAAAGCATGAGTTTTCAACTTTTACACCAGTTTCATTTTTTAAAAAATCACAGGACAAAATTTGTATGGAAGTCATGCCTTGTTCTTTTGATCAGAAAAGCCTTCGGCTCAGGTGAGCAAAAAAGCAATATAATTATCAGCAGTAAAACATCAAGGATAAAGTGTCAGCCAGTATGTCCAACTATTTTCTTGGCTCGATTTGGCAAGGGTTGGAGACACGCATCAGTGTATCTGTGGTTTTTGTATTCCTGGATTTCTGAAACATAGAGAATACACTGAGTAACATTCAACATTCTTTCCAATGAACAAATTGAAAACAGTGCAAATACAAATTCCGGCATTGTTGTTCTGAAGGTTTTCTAATAGCGACAAAGACACATTCTTGTTATTCCTCTTCATCACATTGGTAAAATAAAAAAAAAATTACAATGGCAAAGGATTAGCTCTCTAGCTTGTCAATAGTTTTGGAGAGCTACGGTTCTGCAGGCAAATTGAAGTCTAACAATATACATCTGTTGGTGTTTCTCCACAAGACTGACCAATGGCTTACTTGCAAAAAGCTTTATCTTCACCAACAGCCAGGAGAGAAGGGACCTTGACTTTAAAAAAAAAATTGCAGTATTTAAAACTAAATGTTTTAAATTTCACTCAATACTTACGTATTTCTCCAGGATTGCTTCTTCTGTAATAATGCCAGGGTTCTGATGTTCCCGTTCTTATCAAATTTACTCTGTTTGATATTTCCCCGAAGATGTCATTTGGCATTATCATTTATTTATGATATATCATGAAATTATTATACATTATTTTAAAAGTATGTTATCTCAAATATAATGATGTATTTAAAAAACGCGTTACTGTTCATCTAATAAAGTAATCGTATCTTTTGATCTCGTTTGTTGATACGTTTACATAAAAAAACGATCTACTCTAACAAGCTCGACAATTGTCGATGTTATAATTAAAGACATCATAGGCATGAACAAAGTCTTAAAGTTATTTTTTTCCAAAGACAATGCAATCCATATCATGGGAAATTACAACTATTCAAGTGACTATGACAATTCTTAAAGGGATTGCTTTTTTCTGCGCTAGGTGTAGCCGTAACGTACCTTGTTTAGGTTGATTTCCGACAGATATAAATACCATAGATGTAACGTAAAAGTTCTTCCCATTGAACGTATTGAAAGCAGAGCAAACATAATTTCCAGAATTGTTGGTCTGCAGGTTTTTCAGCGTCACTGAAGACCTGTTGCTGATATTATATTTTGTATCTTCACTATTGTTGGTAGATTGAAATGTCCAGCTGTATATTGGGGGCGGATTACTATCAGAAAAACAATCCAGTTTTAAATAATCACCGGCGAAGTACATTTCTTTGAATGGCAAAAGTGTAATTTTTGCCATCACCGGTCCATCTTCAAAATAAAGATTCAATATTTAAACAAGAGATGTTTGTGAAACACCTATGCCCCCTCCCCCAAATAATTAAAAAATTTCTACGTCCAACCTCTGCGAAGAAGATGAACGGAAATTGATGGTGGACCGACAGATAGACTGAGAGACCGACAGCAGCAAAGCAATAAGCTCTCCCTTCTTCAAAGGGGGGGGGGGCATAAAAATAATAAATATCTACCAATAATATGACTGCCCCGTCTAAGATTTAAAAAAAAATAGAAGCCATGGTACCCAAATTTAAAAACAAAGAATTTAAAAGTGTAATATGGGGATTTCCCGCAAATTTGTTGGTAGAATTCAAAACGTTAAAGTAAAAATAAAGAACAAATAGTAAAATTTTAAAATGATATAGCAATGAACAATATAATGGACAATTTTTGAAGGAAAGAGTACACTTACAAAACACCGAGATTCTCTGTGAGTATCTTCCTGGTCCTGGGTCCTGGGTAAGATTATTTTGTGAGGAACAAAGGAATTTTATTCCGTTGTCCTTTCTGGACACTTTGTACTCTGTGCTTACATTTAGAAAAGTGGTACAATTCTTTGTCTTATTTTTCAGTAAATTTGAAGTGAGCTCGATTTCATGATTATTTGTTATCTCCGGGACTTTCCAGATCTTGATATTTCCCGCCGGATTTTCAACATCAGCGGCACAAATAAGATGTATGAACTGATTCTCCTCCAACGGGTCCTGTGGTTTTAAAACAAACTCTACTGGTTTTGTAGCTTCAGCTGTTTAAATTAAATATGGGTATCAACAAAACGGATTTTAAAAAATAATAGTGATAAGACACAAGTTATTCTTGGTAAAGAATGAAGCATATGCGAAAACGCTGTAATGGTGTGTTTAAACTATCTGTTACAATTTAACCTATACAATAATGTCATGCATTAACCTGCATGCAGCTGAACTGTATTCAATGTCTATCTAAATACAAAGGAAAGTGTATTGTTATATTATTGACCTTATTTTTGTTATTACTGAAATTACCCTCAAAAGTAACTAAAGATAAACTTTTCTTGTGCTTGTCTCTATGCTCGACATCGACAAAATACTCTATCCAACATTGGTACAATCCTTCATCACTGCAGACAAGATCACGTTTTATCATCGTGGCACTGGAGGATACACTAGTATTTGATGTGACAAGTTTTGTTCTATTTTCAAGAGCAGTAGCCATTTTATGATAAATATATGGTTCTTGTCCACCAGGAGGAGAAAACACAGCAACATCTTCAAAACTATTTCCTACTTTTTTTTTCCATATTATCTCTCTATCCGATATACGTTCTCCGTGTTCTATTGAGTAATTACAGCTAAGAACAAGGCTTGTGTCCCTTCTGAACTTTACTTTAAGTTCAGATGAAGTCGATATGGTTAGTAAGGTAACACCTAGTAGAAGAAAATATATTTTGTATGTTCAAACGTTTACACGTTGAGAAGCAAAATGATATCAGCACAATAAACCATTTATTTTAGTTTTTATAATATTGTCTTCAATGTGAGAAAAATAGTTCATGTACTAAAGAAAGAAGGCATTAATCTATGCATTCAGTAAGTAGGTACTTGCAGACAACAGAGATTTCAAATACCTTAAAATAGATACATACGTACAAATTGTTTTCTTTTATTTTTCAGAAATAGATATTTGATTTATTCATCACTCACAACCGCTAAATTTTTATGGAGTGAAAACGGAGAATGAAGTTGGAGATACAAAAATCAGCAGTCTCGTTTAAAGTCATTATTTCATTAGTTGGTCGATACAATGACCTACTAGTGTTTATACAAGCTGTAAAGGTACTTGGACATAGATTTGAAGTTAATATTTTCTCTATAATATTACGACTTATATATTTTAATTTCACACAAAAATTAATCAAAAATCTTATTTCATTTTAAAGTTATTAACACTTCAAATTTTTTGGCGGGTTTGATTGACACATCCTTGCACTTTTTAAACTTTATTCTTAATCCTTAGGAAAAGTAGCAATCTTGATGTAGATTAAAGAGAAATATTAAAACTTTAATCCAGAAAAATAATTTCGTTAGAGTAGAAATGCTAGAAAGCATAACTCCTTCAAAAGTATCGCCATTCCGAGCTAAGTGTTGTGTACAGAGTTTAGAAAATCGATCACACTCGTGTTATGTATACAGTTTTTTGTAAACAGGACACGAGCTCTGTTATTGTTGATGTTTACGATTCACCGGGTGCGTTCAATCATCAAAGTCTGCTCACCACAACTGCACGGACTGACAATATATTGTGTGTTTGTTTTGCTTTCGAACATGTCTACTCTGAATTTTCTGGATTATAGTATTAATATTTTTTCATTTATACACAAGATTGCCACTTTTCCTAAGTATTAAGAATAAAATTAAAATTTGTGAAAGTACAAGGATGTGTCAATCAAACCCGCCAAAAAATTAGAAGTTTTAATAACTTTTGAATGAAATAAGATTTTTAATTAAGTTTTATGTGAAATGCTATTAAAATATATAAGTCGTAATGTTATAGAGAAAATATTAACTTCAAATCTGTGTCCAAGTACCTTTAAAGGTGCTTAGACACAGATTTGAAGTTAATACCAGGTACTAGTATTTTCTCAAATTTTCTGTAAAATATTACAACTTATGTATTGCAATAGCACTTCACACGAAAATATAATTAAAAAACTTATTTTATCCGGAAATTATTAAAACTACGAATTCCGGGACTTTTGTTGTGTATTAATGAAAAAATAATACATTCAGAGTATAAATAATCGAAAGCAAAACCCCTTCACTAGTATCGTCAGCCAATAGTCAGTGTTGTGTACAGAATTTAACAAATTGAATACACCACTGAAAGTAAACTTTTTTGTATTAAAGGGACATGTACACGATTTGAACTGAATTTGTTAAACCAATTTTAATGTTTACAATTCCTAAATAAGGCACCATCTAATGATCAGCTGAAATTTGAACATCATTTGTTGATTGACAAACGAGATACAGAACTTAAAGTTCTTCATATTGTAAACAAGTATCGTGCCTTGCTTTTGTGTACATGATAAAAAATATCCTATTTATAACAAAATGAAATTCAGCAAATCACTAGAAACTGTCTAATCATATTTAAAATGAACTTCTTTATTGAAATTATCTGCTTTGAACAGGTCGAGACCACTACCTTATATGGAAGGCAATTTTCAACACGTGACGATGTCTTCGTCACGCTCGTTCTCCAATCAAGTGAATGAGTCCCAAAGCATGACAGTCGACTATGTGTTTACAATTCAATAGCGACACGTGGTTTTCGTCGGTTTTCTGCACAAAATTTAACTCGTCACCGGAAAAACTGTAGAGCTTCTTGATCACTGTATAAGACCGAAATTGAAAGATTATATTCTAAAGGCATTGCTTCATGCTCACATTTAATATTGGAGTTTTTTAGATGATTAATTGTTGCTTCGAATACCGTACAAACGCTTTGACGTTTGCATGTACATAAAACACTTTCTGATAATATTGAGGGGTTAAATAATAATTGCACACCTTCTTCTTTTGTCTAAAACCAAAGACCTATATACTACCTGCTAAAACTATGTACACGTATATCACGTGAAAATAACTCAATGTTTTATCGACACGATAGCTCCTACGTCTCTTTGAACAATGGGGTTAGGCGATGTATTACCGTATAAGAACAATTTTTAGCGAGGATTTAATTTTGGCATTATTAGCTAGGGTGCTGACATCGCCAAAATTGAATATCGCTGAAAATTCATTGCGTATTGTTTGTAAAAGCTTTTTAATCAAGAATTTAAAAATCGCTAAAATTACTTTTCGCTAAAAATAAAATACCAGTTCTTAGGTATAAATCGCTAAATTTGGGTTTCGCTAAAATTGCCACTTATACGGTATAAGTTAATATAAGGTTTCATAAAGCAAATTGTGTAAATGTGAGCATAGAAATGAAAGATTATACTTCATTTTAAATATTTCTTTCACAAATCTCAAAAAAGAATCGAAAACAAGTATTTTCAAGACAGCTGGGTACTTGTAGTAGCCCACAATGCATTGCGGCTCATTCAGCAGTAGGTAAAGTAAACAGATAGCTAATTTACATGCAAATTTATGCTGACGTCAGAAAATCTAGTGGTCTCGACCTGTTGAATGAACATATATTAGTATACTAACCTATGTAAATAAGACATGATACGGACCATGTTTACATAACAAAGGTTTGGAACTCGAAATCTGTCTTGAACTTATCTCGACAACTCAAGTTCAATTTTCTTATGGTCATAAGAAAGACTTTTGTTGATTTGTAAAAGTGGAGAAAATAAAGAACGAGGGCGCTTTTGATTGGCATTCAGCAGGAATCTGGGCGTAAATGAAAAGTGAAAATTTTATCGTCATGTCACATCAAATTTTAACATTTTTTATTTATCGGGTTCCTGTGCAACAGGAAAGGATAATATTTTTCCCGAAATTGAGCTTTGATTTGCTAAAAAATAACTTGAAAATTGGCCAGATCAGACATTTGGTACAAAAAAGTACATTTTTAAATACGTTTTTCTAAAAATTTTCTATCTTTGGGTCTTCTCTCCATGATTTTGAAACGTTATTTGTGTGTATTTTAATTCAAAGAAACGAATACACATTTTTAAAAAATGGAGAGAAGACCCAGAGACCACGAAAAATGAACTTTTCCCCAAAAAATCCAAATGTGTAAATGTGGTGCTTCTTCGCCTTTTAAAATCCACTGTATATATGTAGCGGTGATAGCTTAGTAGGTAGGGATACCTAGGTATTCAGTGCGCTCGAAGCGAGAATGTTCTGGTTCGAGCCTGGAATGGGGCGTTAGTTTTTTTGTTTTTTGTTTTGATGCAAACAACCATTTATTTTGTCACTTTCGTTTTATGTACTGATGTATTAAAATTTTGAATTAGATAAATTTTGGTTCAATTTGGTTTTCGAACGAAATCAATTCCAATCTTCTATTCTATAATATACATGTACACGTATCATGCATCTATGCATTAAATATTTTAGGTGTTTATTTTTTATGAAACATTACTATGTTATAGTACCCCCTAGGAAAAACGGACATAAATGTTACAATCTCACAAGGTCTTTCAAACTAAATGAAAAAAAAACCTATGGACGTGTTTGTAAAATCTGACCAGCTATGCTCAGCCAACCATATCATGGACATTTAAACCATAAATGTTTCGTACAATTGATTCCTGCAGATCACACGCCAAATGCGCCCATCTTCTTTGAAAATCTTTATCTGAAACTATGTCTATGTCACTTTAAGAATAAAATATAAAATTTATGATTGTGGAAGGATGTGTCAATTAAACGCGTCTAGAAATTCTAAGGTTCAAATGAAGGATATAGAGATAATGAGGAGTATTCAATATCAAAGTAAAACAATACAAATAAGGAGATGGAATAAAGTTTTAATTATTTTTTAGAATGAAAGTGCTACCGCAACAAATAAATTATGAAATTATACAGAATTTGAGAAAATGTTAATTTCAATCTGTGTCTAAGCACCTTTTAGCGCGGTTACATATCAGATCCTACGATTCATTAATTTTCCTTACAATAGTGGAAGTTTAGATAATGTGTCTTGTACAAGCTTTATGGTTCAGTTTTAAATGAAACGCTTATGGTTTCCTTAGAAAACAATACTAGTATACTGTTTATAGCTGGATATTAAAGGATATTCTGTACAGAGAAGTCGCGTTAGAGCTAGAGATTGAGAACTGATTGTTAGGCCATTATTTACACACTGGGTTGTCGACGATTTTTTCCCGGCTTTTCCACCTGAACATGACAAGCAGCATGTACGGCAGGTGTGATCAGTCAGCAGGGGATGCTCACTCCCCAATGGCAATGGCACCTGATCCAAACTCTGATGTTTTGGAGGTAGGAGTTTCCCCTGCTCCTATATTTTGTAATGTTTATTGGATATTTGAGCTCGAATTCTGCTCGTTATCTCCATATATTTTATCGCTGTTAAACAGGAAATGCTTCTAGAACTGTTCAATCTAAAATTATCATAACCGATACATAATTCTTGTATTTTCCGAAAATATCACATTAATAATATTTTTCTGATATATCAGTACAACTTTTTTGTTGTAAAAATGACATAAAAATGTTATTTATTTACATAAGTTTAAGGACTGGATTCATCAAATTCATACTTTAAACGTAACATTTATACATTTAGGATTGTAATTTTGTTGTTGTAATACTTTGGATAGGCCCTAGATACTTGTGAAACACTAAAGAACAGGTGTGTATATACTGATGCTGACATTTATATTCTGTATGACGTATTTATGCGCATAAATAACAACGGGAAATGATAGAGTATTTAGGTTGA